CGTGATACTTAACATTACATTAATACCTCGCAAGTAATGCAGAGGTTCGTGATACTTAACATTACATTAATACCTCGCAAGTAATGCAGAGGTTCGTGATACTTAACATTACATTAATACCTCGCAAGTAACGCAGAGGTTCCTGATACTTAACATTACATTAATACCTCGCAAGTAATGCAGAGGTTTATGATACTTAACATTACATTAATACCTCGCAAGTAATGTAGAAGTTCCTGATACGTAATATAGCATACTTACAGCTATTAGAATAAGTGAAAATACAATTTATTTATATCAGAAACATAATTTTATTGTTTGATGTATATTTCAAACCTTCACAGTGTTGCGTTGATATGTTTAATTTACACAGTTACGGGAAATTGACCGACTGAGAGATAAATTAATATAATTCCTAATACTAAACGTAACAGCCTTGAAATAGCAACGTGCTTCCTATACTTAAGTTAGTTTAAGAACAGGATCTAATCTTTTACAAACGTCGTGCTCCGAAATATCTTAAAACTATTCTATGGCACAAAGAAATAAGTAGTGATGACTAACCTTATCTGGAGGAGGGACTAAAATGCACATTTATGTGACGCCATTATTACAAAAAATGGAAAAACAACTTGAACTATTAAGTGTTTTTTTTTTTGTTATGAATTTCACGCAAAGCTACACGAGGGCTATCTGCGCTAGCCGTCCCTAATTTAGCAGTGTAAGACTAGAGGGAAGGCAGCTAGTCATCACCACCCACCGCCAACTCTTGGGCTACTCTTTTACCAACGAATAGTGGGATTGACCGTAACATTACAACGTCCCCACGGCTGAAAGGGCGAATAAGTGTTATTTCTGTGTCTGAAAATGACAATATCGTTGTTAGAAACGGTTTATTCTATGATAGCAAATATTTAAAAAAAATGTTCCATTTGATCTGAAAGGCTAAAAAAGTACAATTAAAGGGTAATTTATCTTAAACAGGCTTAATGCAAGTAACATAATATCCTCGTAAAAGACTGATATATTGGAGACCACGTTAGAATAATTGAGATTAAAACAGCATCATTTAAATGTTCTTATGCCACAAGTTTCTATCAAATAAAATGTAATCATTTCATAAATTACAGTAAGGATTATTTTGGACCACATAAAACGGTTAAAAAAGTCACACTGGTGTAAATAAAGAGTTTTAAAGAAACTATCGAGGTAAGTATTATCTGGCTGAAGAGAAAACTAAATTAAGTCTCCGATTTCGTTTAATTAAACCTGACATGACAAAAATCTCTGATCCCATTCCTAGCTTGAGATACTTACTTTGTGATAACTATAGTTTTATAACAAAGTCTAACATAAGATATAATTTAGTTCGTGTTCTTGACTGTTATAATATCAGGTGTTTCGATAAATGAAATACGTGCTTACCTAATATTAGACTTCAATATCATATACAAGAAACAGATAATTTTGATTATTTAAGGTTACGTATATTGCAATCAGAATGTGTTAAGAATTTCAAACAAAATATGACGAGTTTCGATTAACAGGTTTCCAAACAATTGATGGATTTTAAATGAATATGCATCACACCATCGATGTAATAATCCTTCATTTACAATTGCCTGTAGTGTAGATGTTAAATTTAGAGACGGTTTATTTTCATTTTACAATCCTTATAAACGTATTTGCAATTTAAATAAAAAGAAACATAATCAAAGATGTTAACATACGAAGAGAATATTGTGGTTGTTCAGCCAATGAGGAATGTTGTGTCTTAGTGCAACCTTGTTCAGCCAATGGGAAATGTTGTGTCTCAGTGCAACCTTGTTCAGCCAATGGGAAATGTTGTGTCTCAGTGCAACATTGTTCAGCCAATGAGGAATGTTGTGTCTTAGTGCAACCTTGTTCAGCCAATGAGAAATGTTGTGTCTTAGAGCAACCTTGTTCAGCCAATGAGGAATGTTGTGTCTTAGAGCAACCTAGTTCAGCCAATGAGGAATGTTGTGTCTTAGTGCAACCTTGTTCAGCCAATGAGGAATGTTGTGTCTTAGAGCAACCTTGTTCAGCCAATGAGGAATGTTGTGTCTTAGTGCACCTTTTATAGTTGAATTCAAACATTATACGTAATATAATATACGTGTCAAATTAAAATTGATACGTATGTACGCTGTCTAAGCAACGTATCTCTCAACTCCAGTGAGAGCTATCAACAAAATATAATGTTTTCCCCGAGTGAATTCAAAGTTTCAGTAATAACTTCTTATCCCTTTAGATGTCTCTGCAGTTCTACGTAGAGTTAATTCATGATCGAGAAGTTTCTTTCATTTTCGACAAAATTGATAAGTCAATATAATTTAGTCCAAATTCAGTCTGGGCAATCTCCCAAGGTGCAATACCCATTAATCTTATCTTCTAATTCCCCTCTTTCATTCTGTGTAGTAATTGCAGTCGATTAGCTCGACTAATGTAGTAATTATCTCTTTTTTTAATATTCCTTTTTGCTATTAGCTCACGTCCTATAATCATTTCATTGCGTATTTTTACATCCCTTTTTGTTACAACCTGTAAATCACAATTTCCCCGTCAAATACAAAAAGTATTCAATAAAATTAAATTTCATAATGTCCATTTATCATAGGTTGCGCTCCAAAGTTAGAGAGAGTTTAAAATAATGTTACTGAATAATTTGAAACCTAACGGTATGTATATATTTCTTATTATTTAAATCATTATTTTTACTGCAATTGACTGCGTTGAAAGTAAAATCCTTAGAGTTATGAAAGTAATTATCAGTGAATAAGAGGGTTTTAGTTTCGAATAAATTTGTACAAGACGTATCTGCACTAGCCTTCCCTAAACTAGTTAACACTTGAGCTACTCTTATTCGGTAGTCGGATTTGACTATCACTCTTATAACGCATACAGCCCCAAAGTGCATAGTGCAATTTTCAACCAGAAAGACTCGAACCATAAAAACTTCATATTTATAATTCGGCATGCTAACAACTGGGCCACGCATAGCCCAAAACGTTTATTAGAAAAGTAATTTAAAGTAGTACATAGAGAGAAAAATGTTAAAGTTAAACCTAAAAATACATAAACAGTTTTGAATGTGAAAACAAGCTTGACGATCAGCCATGAAGCAAAGCTATGATTATTTGTTGAATTACAACAATACAACTTTTGAATGTGAAAACAAGCTTGACGATCAGCCATGAAGCAAAGCTATGATTATTTGTTGAAGTACAACAATGCAACTTTTGAATGTGAAAACAAACTTGACGATCAGCCATGAAGCAAAGTTATGATTATTCGTTGAATTACAGCAATACAACTTTAATTTCAACTCAAATAACAATATAACTGACATTAAATACTTCTTTTACAGATTCTTATTCATTATTTTGGGGATTATTACACTAACATTGTTCAGTAATGAAATTAAAAAATACCATTCACAACTAAATTGAGTACAATTAACGGACTTTATTAAAAATATTCACAACTAACTGATTATATTATATTCATTGCTACAAATGTCGTAGGACCACGATATATTTATTACCCTGTTATAAGGCTTAACGGACTTTAAATGTATATGTTATTTACATTATGATTCTACACACACAGAGAAGTGAACCAAAGTATCAATCAGTACTTAGGTTAATTTCAAGTTATATATTTCATTCCTATTAACTTTACAGTGTTTTTCTAATGTTTTTGAGATATTCCACACTATTAATATTCCTACAGTATCTCTTATGGCTCTTCATAACATCTATTTAAAAATCTGTGTTCATTAACTATGTTTGTGGAAACTTTATTTATGGGTCAAATCCATTTTAATCTCTTGGCAATAAACAGCCGATAAATGAATAATGACAACTATCGCTGTCGGAAGTAACGTTCAAATACATGCGCAGAAGTAATCTGTATATCACATTACAGCACTTGTTTCTAACGTAGATTTCTTTAGTTTGTATCACGTGCTTTAATAGCAATACCGACTTTTACCAAAAATGTAACTGGAAATGAACAAATTAGACAATCTTGAAAATTCAGGATGACTGTAAAATCCGGAAGCAAACAGAATAGTGTTAAGATGTTCGGGAGGATAACGCTTCTACCCTACTGCTAAGTGGACCCTACCTGCTGTAATGCTGGGAAGATGTACGGTTAGGAGCGCCAATCATTTCTCTGTACGTTAGTGGAGTCGCTGGTCGTTGTCCTGTGCTCAGTGCTGATGTTTCTAATTATGAGTACCAGAGGTAGAGTCCATTATGACCCAGTAAATGTAGCAGGTGTTAATTGTCACACCTAACTGTCGATATTACTCTATACACTATGATTTCCATGTCTATAAGGTTCAGCAGCGGGACTTTTGTACGAAGCTGTATGTGGAGCGTGGGTTTTATTTGCTATTTTCTTCTTCCAGCAGTCCCGAGTAAGAAAACATATTTTGTATTTATAAACAAGTTCTATGAAAGTATGTTCCTATTTGTAAAGATAATAATACACTATTAATGAACGAAATGTAGAATAAATATCGCTTAATTCGTTGAGTACGTAAAAGTATTTTTGTAATTTCTACCCAAATTTTCGTGGTAGAAATATAAAAAACAACCCAGTACATGATTCCTTACTCTATACTATACGTGTATTGTTACTTACTTGTATATATAATATATATATAACCCAGCACATGATTCCTTACTCTATACTATACGTGTATTGTTACTTACTTGTATATATAATATATATATAACCCAGCACATGATTCCTTACTCTATACTATATCTTATTGTTACTCGTATATATAATATATATAACAACCCAGAACATGATTACTTACTCTATACTATATCTTATTGTTACTCGTATATATAATATATATAACCCTGAACATGATTCCTTACACTATATCTGTATTGTTACTTGTCTATATAATATATATATATATATAACCCTGAACATGATTCCTTACTCTATACTATATTTGTATTAATACTTACTTGGTATAATTTTACTTGTGCGAACTGGTACATTAAATTCCCTATTGTTATCAGGGTCGTTTTAAGCTTCTAGAGATAAAAGGAACTCGTATAGTAACGATTGTTTAGGCAATTTAAATGTTTCAGATTTTAAAAAGTCCACAGAATGTTAACCGAATACCTTACACAGACGAATTATTTTTATTCTTTGGGATTTTATTTCGTTTTTGTTTTAAAATTACAAGCGTTTGCTGCTTAGGAAAAGGACGTACGTGAACCATTTTCAACATCGAATCTCCCTTACATCCATTAGAAAATTGAATGTTCAGCTTCTGGATTTTTTTCTTAAGAAAAAATGTCAATTTCTCTTTGTGGCTTGTCCTATTATATACACTGACTTTTTTTGGTAGATATAAATAACAAAATAGGAGTTTCTGGTTAGGTTTTTTGTAGTTCCCTACTTCTACTGTCTTTCATACATTTTTTACTGTGGTTTTGAATGTACAATTTCCCGCGGTTTGTTTTATTGAAAATCCAATATTGCTGGATGACTAAGTAGAATAAAACTGGCCCACGGGGTTCAGCGGAAAATCGAACACTTATAACGGTCACAATCAGTTTTGATACTCGTGGTGGGAAAAGCACACACGTATAGCTTACTGTGCAGCTGTGCGCTTAACAATAAACACTACATAGACCTTGAGGTAGTAATGTCCTAAATCAATCTTTAAAAATTTACATTTATAAATCTTCCGCTATCAGTCAATGATGACGAGAAGGACTGGTAAGGAGAAGAGTTTTTGGTTTTTAGTCTCATTGTGAACGTTTTGGATTTATATACACACGAAACACACAGCATAAGTATTGTATTCTTAGTTATCACACGAGAGAGAAATTAAATATTCCAAAAAATTCAAAGAACTATTTTACTTGAATGACAAAATATATTACAAAAACAATTTCTAAGAGACATGTTGTTTATAAAGAGAACAATAACAGTGTTTTATGATAATCAAGACACGTAGTAGTGTGCCATGCAACCAAAACAACTTACAAGATACTGTTTGTTATTAACAGGAGTGATAGTTTAGCGATTTTCAGTTTTCTGTATCTCGGACTGTGGTAATCCAAACTATTACATATTTTCAGTGGATGTACTATACAAAGTTTCAAGGCAATCCATTAAGAAGTACAAATACAAGATAGCGATTTTCCGTTTTCTGTATCTCGGACTGTGGTAATCCAAACTATTACATATTTTCAGTGGATGTACTATACAAAGTTTCAAGGCAATCCATTAAGAAGTACAATACTATACAAAGTTTCAAGGCAATCCATTAAGAAGTACAAATACAAGAGATATAAAGTCTCCAATTTTTATTGACATTTTTCCTTTTTTTCTTCTTCGCCCTAAAAGTACGGAAATTTTGATAGATAAACTTAACTTTTATGGATTTTTTTCATATTTGATACGCTAACAGATCTTTGCAACTTACTATTAGATGTCAAATTTGGTCTAAGTATAAGCAACATACGCAAAGTTATCCAACAAAAAGGGCTCAAATCTGACCAAAACATTTGCGCATGAAGTATCGGTCTAAAATATTTACTACAGCTTCACCTAAGAGTAAAGGTAGGCCGTTTTTAGTTTTTCGTCATTCGGGTTAAAGACTGCTGATTTAGAGCAGCAAAACTATAAGGTGAACGAGTATTGGTTAGGCCAGGAAAATTACATTAGCAGTTTCTAGCTCAAGTTTTCAAAGGAATCATACGAATGGAAGGTTATTATTGATTATTCATTGCCAACTTTTAAGCACAAATTTATTAATGTTATAAAATTATCCTGATTAAAGATAGTTTAGTGTCACGTGATATTAGCTTAAGCAGTTAACATAAATAATGATGCTGGATACGGCTGTACCGATTGCATAGGAGTGGTGACAAGAAACTGGTAATTTAAATTCCATGGCGTTACTATAAAGGAAACTGTTAACACTGCTTTGGAGAGGAAAAACTACCACTATATATTTTAAAGAATCTGGTCGGTTCTGTAAAGTATAGGTCTGTTCCGAATAATAGGGTTGCGATCTTATAGCTAATGTTGGTTACTATCGAGTGTCACTTTCTTACTTGGTGTGGTTTGTTGGTGTGTATTAACAAAAAGTTATGATATATAATTCAAAATACCTTAAGTGTGAAAAAATGGTGCGGCCAAAAAAAGGAATGAGCGCGCGACTTGTATGAATGAAATGAAAATTGGTGACCAAACTGGTAGCTACAGCAAATATTCAATCATCAGTTAACTAGGCCGCGTTTTTTTTTGTTTAATTCGGGTCGTGATGATGGCCTGGCGAACTAATGAATGACTATTTGTTGTAAAATCCTTATCAATGCTATAAGTGTAGCTACTAGTTTGGCCGCCAATTTTGATTTCACTCCTTTAAGTCGCACAAACAATCCTATTTTGGCCGCACCTTTTTTTCACACTTAAAATGTTTTTGATTCTATAAGAAAAAAACACGAAACACAACAGCATCACAAGTTGTTGTTTTTTTATCAAATAACTAAGTCATATGTAAATAACACCATATATAAAAGAGAGTTAAATAAAACTATAGCACAAACTACTACGTAGAAATATAACATGTATCATAATATGAGAGAGATATCCAATATAGGGCGTTCATAGTTGTGGGGAAACGATAACCCTTAATTAAACAATTCACACAAAAGTTTAAACTCTGTATAAAATGATATTTGCACCTCCTTGAAACAATAGGGGCAACCACCTTCCCAGAACCGTCTTTGGACAGTGGAAGGTGATATTTAGGGCGATATGGGCTTGCCTCCCCTTTTCTGCAATAGTTTAGGCTAGAAAACGAAAGTTAATATGATAGATGGTTGTATCCATACCGCTATGTTGGTCATATTTACCATGTTACAGTTTTTCTCTACTTATTGGTGCCATATTTGTTGCTCTTTTCGTTTTCTGGTGCATAATCTGCAACTTTTCTGCAATAGTTTAGGCTAGAAAACGGAAGTTAATATGTTAAATGGTTGTATCCATACCGCTATGTTGGTCATATTTCCCATGTTACAGTTTTTCTCTACTTATTGGTGCCATATTTGTTGCTATTTTCGTTTTCTGGTGCATAATCTACAACTTTTCTGCAATAGTTTAGGCTAGAAAACGAAAGTTAATATGATAGATGGTTGTATCCAGTTACAGTTTTTTCTCTACTTATTGGTGCCATATTTGTTGGAGATTATGCACCAGAAAACGAAAAGAGCCACCCATACAGCAGTTAGGGATTTTCTCGCATATTTTGCCAAATTGTAATAATAACAAGGATACCTTCATTCACCATTAGTGGAAACCTATATCACACAGACAAAACATCTGACAAAAGGTAAAAGCTGTACAAAAGCACAACCTATAAATGTGATGGATTAAAATATATTAATTAAATAAATATGGTTTCACCCATGATATAATTTGTCCAACAATGTTATTGTACGATTAGAGAAATTTAATTCCCTTCCTTATGGGTTATTATGTTTAACAATTGCGTTTTGTGAACTTACAGAAAGCAAGCTGAAGAACACTGGGTACAAAAACAAACTAAGCAACGTTATAATTAATCTCCTGTCAGTACAATAATCACTATATACCTTCAAGTACTGAGATCCAATTCTTTCCGAATTGAATGTTTAACAATAAACCTAGAGAATGGTTCTAAACAAGAAAGATGTACAGAAATGTAAACGGGCATAGAACGGTTTACCCTAATTATTTAACGTATACAATTTAGGATGAGAAACGAACCGCTGACAGACACCAGTTTCCTACATATGAAATGTGAAGAAACCAGCCCGTTCTGTAAACAATAACAAAGTCCGAGATCCGCAAATTAATTAAACCGGTCAAAAATAACGTTCTTCAGAGCAAAGTAAAATGTGTGTGAAGGTTGTAAGAACGGTTTTGTTTTGCCAATTCGTACAACTACTTGTAAAAACATGTTTAATTTTGGTCACTTTAGGTTACTGTTTATAAATTACCCATTACGTTTACGGTAATTATTTGTTTTCTCGTACTGGCTACTCTTTACAACTTGTCATATACAGTTTATCTAAGTTTGCTGGGAATTTCTGCGAAATATTTTACCTCAGAAGTTAGTGAAGATAACATTACTGTATTCATATTCAACATGTGTTTTAAATGATGTTTTTAATTTTCTTTTCTTAGAAACATGGGAATTAATGTAATTATTTATTGTTACACACTGTGCTTCTTCCTACTTCATGGGTCTCGAAAAGCGCCATCTTTATATGGAAAAATCAACAACGAAAAGGCGATGGACACAATTCAATATTATTCTTGTATTATTATTATATAATCACATGAAAGAATTTATTTTCGACTAAAATTCATCACTATTTCCTTGATGACACT